CGTGTGTTACCAGAGTGTTCTGTGTTTCCAGTGTGGATTTTGTGCGAGTAGTCTCTTGTTTCTTGTGGACTACTCTCACCTTTGGATTTATGGACATTGTTGTTGCACCTGTAAGTTTTCACCATTGGTTAGAATAAACACCTTCAACTTACCTGCTCCACCTCTGTCTCTACATTTGCAGCGTTCAGCCAGGTGACTGAGCGTAGCAAAGAGTTTTGAAAAAGACTGTGAAGGTTCTGATATTAGTCCCAAAGTGATACTGGAACTTGAGACACAATAACCTGTAATCATGTACCGATCCGCTGAACCACGTCTGCTGAGATGGAAACACAGATCCACTTTACACATAAAGTAAGACGCAGTAGTTCAAACACAGTATAACATCATATGCAGCAAGATATTTTAATATGATGCTGTCTGATCTCATTACAATGAAATATATAATAATCTAATATAACCTGCTTTTATTTATTTCTACAGTTTAAAGTTACAAGGACACATTAAGAAACACTTCTGTAAATGTGCCAGTTTAGCCAGCGTGGCTAATGATGGACTGTAGTCAACGGTGAACTACATTAAAACAGGAACACATAACTAACTGCATTTCACAGGAACACATAAGATGCTTTAAAACGAGGACAAAGCACGTTACAGAGGACGGTCACACACTTTGTTTTTTAAGTGATTTTAAGTTCATTTTAAATGAACGATATGATTCCCATGATGAGAGCTGCTCTGACTGTCTGAGGCCGTCCTCCTCGGGGCTATAATGCCGCATTCGAGACCAGTCGAGACTGGGATATTTCCCAGTTGAAACTTCTGACTTCCGACATCAAAGCGTTCCAGGTGCATGGTGGTGCATGACACCAAAAGTGAACGAAAACCATGGCTGACCGTGACAAAGTGGGCACACAGTTGCGCCCTCAGCAGTGTTATAGGTGTTACTTCAAAGGAAGGCAGTTTAACTGCAACAATTGGTAACCCACAAGTCAGTCAATGTTGTAGGTTACACTTCCCCATGTTTTGTCATTTTTAACAATACCTTTTATGCAGAGAAGATGACTTTATGAGATTCTTTACTGTAGCCAGCTACCTAATAGGCCTAACATATTTCTACATCAATGTACATGCAGAACAGGTTTTACTATATGATTGTAAATACATGCAAATATACTTTTTGTTGCCTTTTACTTTATGGTTTACCATTTACAGTGTGTGCTTCCATTGGTTTTGTGATGTCATTCAGCTGCTACTCGTGAAGTAGGAAATCCGACTTCAAGTGGTAGTTTTTCTAGTTGGAGATTGGAAATTTCCAAGTTCCAAGTTGCCTGGAATGCAGCATAACACCTCTTACCACAGACCCCGTGTGTCTATCAACCAGGAGGGGGAGCAAGCCACGCAGGATCTTATAGATAAAACAAGTATCTGTGTTTTGATAAGCATGCATCGTGTCGTCTTAGCTCATCTCTCAGTGTAAAGTTTATTTTATTCTGATTAAAGGTTTTGTTTTGCAGGAGTCAAATCTTTCAGCTTGGGGTTTGATCCAAACTGAAAGTCACGTGTGTGTGTTTGTTACCACCACACCAAACGAAAGATTCTTTTAGAGCTCAGTAACAGAATCAGCTGGCAGTTCTTCCTGAAGCTCTGCTCCTGAAACCATCAACACGTGCAGCCAAACAGAACGCACGATCTTTGCTCTACACTCAGCTTGTATCTCAATAACACACTCCTATCAAAACTGAGAACATCACTTTATTTTACTATTTTACTTCCACATGTGAAAACACTTTGAGATCAGCGGTTCACCCACCAAGCAGAGCTCGAGCGCTAAACGTAAACACTGGGTTTAGCTAACAAGAAAGGAGGAGGTGAAGTAGGATGAGGGAGACGAAGGGGAGTCGCGAACATGATAAATGACTTTACCATGTTGTCAACCAGGAGATGAGCTTGAGAGACGCTGGACCACCTGGTTATTTTAACATAAGAAGCTGTAGCTGCTGTCCAGCTCTGGTTCTGCACCCTTTCAAAATAAACTCAGATGGTGTAAAACAACTGAGAAATAAACATCAAACTTTATTTCAAACTGCTCTTTTTTTTCTGCCAGCTGCTGCTTCGTTTGTGGGAACTGATGCAGAAACTCAAGTTTTAGAAAGAAAAAAAATATATTTAATATATTTAAAATATTATTAATATTACCATCATCATCATGCGAGATGTGTAATGTTTAGTTTTTTTGGTGTAAGCTTTCCTGCTTGGTGCGTTGAGATCAGAACAAACTCACGAGAAAAAAACGTTTCCTGGACTCTGATTGGCCGACGTATTGAAGCAACACGTCTCTAACCTTCACGCCTGCAAAGGTGGAAAATTCTGCGTCAGCTCCACCTGTCCAAACTCCCACGTCTCTGATAAGATGTCCTCTCCTGTCCCGTCCAATCACGTCGCTCCCTGGCTGTATAAAAGCTCCTCGCTCAGAGAGACCCCACATGATTGAGCCATGGCCTTCCTGTGGATCCTCTCCTGCCTCGCCTTCGCCGGCGCCGCCTACGGTGAGACAAACTTTTAACTAAGGAAGTGAAGCATGCTGGGAAAAGAAGAGAACAGAGCCTCCACTGCAGTGAAGTTTTATTTAACAACCAGCAGGTGGCGCTGTAGCTGCAGTCGGGGGCAGTGATCAGCTGCGTCTCCTACAGGACTTCAGGGTCTCAGATCTTACAAGCTGAACTTTGTGATTGATGTAATCTGTTCCCAAAACAAACTTTCAAATTCATGTTGTTAATGATGTCATGATGATGTCACCAGGTTGCGGCTCTCCCGACATATCTCCCGTCATCTCGGGTTACTCTCGTATTGTGAACGGCGAGGAGGCGGTGCCTCACTCCTGGCCCTGGCAGGTGTCCCTGCAGGTAAACACGCACACAAACACAAACACGTATTGTGTAACAAACACGTCTCTAACTCTCGTGGTTGTTTCAGGATTCCACCGGCTTCCATTTCTGCGGCGGCTCTCTGATCAACGAGAACTGGGTGGTGACGGCCGCCCACTGCAACGTCAGGTAAACCCCTCCCACCGCCATAATCCTGTCTCCTTCATCCCGTCTCCTTTGTCCTCCGTCCTGTCTCCTTTGTCCTGTCTCCTTCATCCTGTCTCCTTCGTCCTCCGTCCTGTCTCCTATGTCCTGTCTCCTTCATCCTGTCTCCTACATCCTGTCTCCTTCATCCTGTCTCCTTCGTCCTCCATCCTGTGTCCTACGACCTGTCTCCTACATCCTATCTCTTCCATCCTGTCTTCTCCATCCTGTCTTCTTCATCCTGTCTCTTACATCATGTCTCTTACATCCTGTCTCCTACATTCTGTCTCCTTCATCCTGTCTCCTTTGTCCTCCATCCTGTCTCCTACGTCCTGTCTCCTTCATCCTGTCTCCTTCATTCTGTCTCCTAGATCCTGTCTCCTTCATCCTGTCTCTTCCATCCTGTCTCTTCCATCCTGTCTCCTTCATCCTTTGTCCTGTCTCCTTCATCCTGTCTCCTATATCTTGTGTCCTATGTCCTTCATCCTGTCTTCTTCATCCTGTCTCCTATATCCTGTCTCCATCTTCATGACTCCTACATCCTGTCTCCTTCGTCCTTCGTCCTGTCTCTTTCATCCTGTCTCCTTCATCCTGTCTCTTTCATCCTGTCTCCTTTGTCCTTCGTCCTGTCTCCTACATCCTGTCTCCTTCATCCTTCGTCTTGTCTCCTACATCCTGTCTTCTTCGTCCTGTCTTCTTCGTCCTGTCACCTACATCCTGTCTCCTTCGTCCTGTCTCTTTCGTCCTGTCTCCTTCGTCCTTCGTCCTGTCTCCTTCATCCTGTCTTCTTCATCCTATCTCCTTCATCCTGTCTCCTTCATCCTGTCTCCTTCGTCCTGTCTCCTTCATCCTGTCTCCTTCGTCCTTCGTCCTGTCTCTTTCATCCTGTCTCCTTCATCCTGTCTCTTTCATCCTGTCTCCTTTGTCCTTCGTCCTGTCTCCTACATCCTGTCTCCTTCATCCTTCGTCCTGTCTCCTTCTTCCTTCGTCCTGTCTCTTTCATCCTGTCTCCTTCGTCCTTCGTCCTGTCTCCTTCATCCTGTCTCCTTCGTCCTGTCTCTTTCGTCCTGTCTCCTTCGTCCTTCGTCCTGTCTCCTTCATCCTGTCTTCTTCATCCTGTCTCCTTCGTCCTGTCTCCTTCATCCTGTCTCCTTCGTCCTTCGTCCTGTCTCCTTCATCCTGTCTCCTTCGTCCTGTCTCCTTCATCCTGTCTCCTTCGTCCTGTCTCCTTCGTCCTGTCTCCTTCATCCTGTCTCCTACATCCTGTCTCCTTCGTCCTGTCTCCTTCGTCCTGTCTCCTACATCCTGTCTCCTTCGTCCTGTCTCCTTCATCCTGTCTCCTTCGTCCTGTCTCCTACATCCTGTCTCCTTCGTCCTTCATCCTGTCTCCTTCGTCCTTCATCCTGTCTCCTTCATCCTGTCTCCTTCGTCCTTCATCCTGTCTCCTTCATCCTGTCTCCTTCATCCTGTTTCCTACACTGAACATGCTCTGTAGTTCCATGAGGCTCCGCCTCCTGTCAGTCAGCCTCTTCAGGTGTCTCAGGTGATCTTTAACGTGTCTTTCCGTGCAGGACGTCCCACCGCGTGGTCCTCGGAGAACACGACCGCTCCTCCAACTCTGAGAACATCCAGGTCAAGACGGTCGGCAAGGTGGGTTACAAACAGCGGCAGCTTTCCATCTCAAGACGGGGACTTCCTGTGCGTTCGCCGCTCATAATGATGTCATTTCCTGTCAGGTGTTCAAGCACCCCCGCTACAACGGCTTCACCATCAACAACGACATCCTGCTCATCAAGCTGGCCAGCCCCGCCCAGCTCAACACGCACGTGTCCCCCGTGTGCTTGGCCGAGACCGGAGACAACTTCCCCGGAGGCATGAAGTGCGTGACCAGCGGCTGGGGCCTGACCCGCTACAACGGTGAGAGCGCCTGCATGAGCCGGCCAATCAGGAGAGAGCAGGGGCATGTAGAGAAATTCAGGCGGTTATAGTCTCTTAAAAGTTTCCCATCAAACCTCAGGTTAACAAGTCGGCTCAGAATCTAAATGTTTTGTAGTCCTGACGACCTGAAGTCTCTGTGTTTCACCGTGCAGCCAGACTGAGGTTGTCTTACAGAAACCTGCACCGGGGGCAGCACGTAGACCTGCAGCACGTAGACCTGCAGCACGCAGACCTGTAGCGCGCAGACCTGTAGCGCGCAGACCTGTAGCGCGTAGACCTGCAGCACGTAGACCTGCAGCACGTAGACCTGCAGCACGCAGACCTGCAGCACGCAGACCTGCAGCACATAGAACTGTAGCACGTAGACCTACAGCATGTAGACCTGCAGCACGTAGACCTGTAGCACGCAGACCTGTAGCACGCAGACCTGCAGCACGCAGACCTGCAGCACGTAGACCTGCAGCACGTAGACCTGTAGCACGTAGACCTGCAGCCCAGACCGTGTTTATTAGCGATGTGTTTGTGTTACAGCTCCCGACACCCCCGCCTTGCTGCAGCAGGCCTCCCTCCCCCTGCTGACCAATGAGCAGTGCAGTCGTTACTGGGGCAACAAGATCACCAACCTGATGATCTGCGCCGGAGCCGCCGGGGCCTCCTCCTGCATGGTGGGTGGTGCAGACGTACGGTAGATTTTTGATGGTTAGCTTGGGTAGTTTACTCATCTCTTTGTTTGTTTGTTGTTCTGCAGGGCGACTCCGGTGGTCCTCTGGTCTGCCAGAAGGGCGGAGTCTGGACTCTGGTCGGTATCGTGTCTTGGGGCAGCGGAACCTGCACTCCCACTTCCCCCGGCGTTTACGCCCGCGTCACCGAGCTGCGCTCCTGGGTGGATCAGATCCTCGCTGCCAACTGAGCAGAAAGCTTTCAGCTCCATCCTGATCATCAATAAAACACAGAAACCCTGAAACTGGTCCTTGTCGTGTGTTCATGACGCTCGCTGCCAAGTCACTTCATCATTTGTTACAGAAACTAAGAAATGAATGTGAAGATTAACCCGTGTAGTGTTCGTTCTTTGATTATTTAGTTTCAAAACCAAAACAGAAAACCCAAACGACAAGTCGTTTTTGGGGTTTTCTGTTTTAAACGGAAAAACACAGCAGCTGCGTTCTGTTCTATCTGTGACCGCTGTTGTATCCCTACTGGTTCTCCGGCTGCTGTACGTGGTCTGCCTCCGTCCAGACCCACATCATATAGGCTATTTCTTTTCAAGTCGCATCGTGTCTCACAGTGACTGTGGCGAATATGATTGTATATTACAGCCACATACAAAAAAAGAAATTACAGAACATGTAGGTCACTTTTTCTTGCAAGATTTTGTGAAGCTGGGTTCAAACTCACTGGAATAAAAACAACTCTTCTTTGAGGCGCGTTGCTTTGCCACTCAAACACTCTTCTCTCACTTCCAGTCAACTAGTGACGTCAGCATCCAGGCAGCATTTTGTTTTGGGCAGATCTGAAGCAGCTGGTTACTTGAGCGATCTAAGAAAATACCCGAATATGTTAATCAAGGATTTTTTCCCTCAAGCCTACAACCAGGTCCAAACTACAGGGGAGCCATGGGAAGCTTGACTCCTCTTAATAAGACATGAGCTCCCCTGAAAACACGATTTGTGATATTTTGGGGGGTCAATATGGTATTTCTATGGGTTGTGTTGCCAGTGGAACCCGCGGAGTGGACAGTCAGTGGTCGTTCCCTCTGGCTCCGGATTTTACGCATGATCCATGTGCTACTGCAGCTGGAGGCAACTTTCTAAATTCTTCCAAGGTCGGGTCCAAACAGTGCAAGAGGCTGCCGCAGCTGTTGAGTCTTCTCTACTCTAATTGTAGCAAAATGGCTGCATATAATAATAATGACAGGAATAAACAATGCCTGAAATGTTCACATTCAGCACGAGCTTGTTTCTTTCTTTTTGAACATTGAGCCTTATGTTGATGTTGAGGCTCATCTTAATGACATCGCTCAAGTGTATCTGCTGCAGGTTTATCAACACACAAAGCTACACATTAAATATCAAAATCGATATTTTCTGTTTTGGTTTTAAAACAACAGAAAACGACTTGTTTTTTGTTTTTTTTACGATTCGGTTTTGAAACAAAATAATCAAAGAACGAATCATTCACGGATTATTGAGATTCTTCATCTGCAGAACTGAAATATTCTGTCATACTGAGGGTTAAGTATAATATAATATATATAATAATATATAATAAGTACCTGTATACTGAATACTACACATCTGTATAAATAACACTAATCTACTAGATCAGGATGGTTAATGAATGATTAACATCCTGTATACCTGTATCCTAGAGATGGGAGCCGGCTCATACAGACACCTCCCTGCAGGATGTGTTAGCCTAGCTTAGCATAAAGACGGGAAGGTAAAAGTATAAAACACATATTTTAACTTCATAAAGAAACACGTTAACATCTTTTTGAATTAGTGGTTTATTACACAAACAGCACATTTTGTTCGACACGCAACAGAAAGAGCATCAACACGCTTTCTACGCATCAGGTGCGCCTGGGAGGGCAGGCGTGGCCGACTCGGCGGCAGTAGCAGATGGCGTTGAAGAAGCGGCAGTAGCAGGTGTCACAGGGGTCGCAGCAGGGCAGCGGGTAACCCAGACACGACTGCTGGTGGGGGATGCAGCGGCGAGGCGAGCGCATGGCCCGACCCTGCAGCTGCAAGGACGAGTCCTGAAAAACAGGAAGTAGATGAACACAAACAGGAAGCAGATCCAGTCACGGTAACAGCTGAAGAAACGTCATCACGCAGCGTACTGTCTCTTTAACAGCGAATAAGCCACACCCACCTCGTCGTAGGACCCTGGGTCCATCAGGAAGGGATCCTCCACTGAGTCCACAGGTAGGAGGTCGGCGTCGGGGACGTGGCTTCTCTCTGCAGGACACAAGACAGAAGGCAGACCTGTTACCTGTCGTCCCCCTTCATCCCTCCTTCTGCCTTCAGGATGAAACAAAAAGCCAAACGCTCGTTCAGAGATCTGCAGCGCAAATACAGGTCCGACCTTCACCTTCCAGTCCACGTTAGTCCTCTCAGTCGACCCACAGCAGTTAGATCAGAAGAACCACGTGCATTAAAATCATCTCATGGAAAAACACAGTACACAGTCACAGTAGAATGTACTGTAGTTCAGGACTACCTGAGCCAGCCCTAACTATAAGCTTTATCAAAGAGGAAAGTCTTAAGCCTACTCTTAAATGTGGAGATGGTGTCTGCCTCCTGAACCCAAACTGGAACCTGGTTCCACAGGAGAGGAGCTTGATAGCTGAACGCTCTGGCTCCTAGTCTACTTTTGGAGACTCTAGGAACCACAGGTGCATTCTGGGAGCGCAGTGCTCTGGTGGGGTAGTAAGGTACTATGAGCTCTTTAAGATAAGATGGTGCCTGACCATTAAGAGCTTTGTAGGTAAGAAGAATGATTTTAAATTCTATTCTGGATTTTACTGGAAGCCAATGCAGAGAAGCTAAAACAGGAGAAATGTGATCTCTTTTCCTGGTTCCTGTCAGAACACGAGCTGCAGCAGTGGACTAGTTCTCTACATTACTCTGAGACAGGATGTCCCTGATGTTTGAAGTTTCTGTAGGAGTTAGTCCTCACAGTTCTCACAGCTGGGGTTAACATCACCAGGTCTTCCTGCTCAGGTGTGACTCAGATCCTCTCCTGCGGTGAAGCTGCACGAGACTCATCATAAACTTATCTGCTGGACTACAAAGTCCTCATCACACTGTGAGATCACTGTGGACCAACAGGACTGCAGAGTAACTGAACCTGTTTCAGTGACTGGAACCAGATCTGACCTGATATTTTGATTTGATCATTTAAAGTACACACGTGTTGATTTTAACTACCGGAGTACCAGGAGCCAGTGGAGAACAGGACCGACCCTGAGAGGATCATCCTGCTGAAACAAACTGTGAGAATCACCCAGCGTTTCCTCAGTGCGGCACACTGATCCAACACCTGCAGTGTTTCATGTGTTTCCACTGTGTCCTCCTGCTTCAGCTTGATATCTGACTGATCTGTCATCAGACTTTCCCTCTTTCTCTGAGTCCTGCTGTGGTGCGTCACTGATTGGACAGGGCTTACTGACCGAGGTCAGACAGGTATGCGGTCTCGGCGCGGCGGCCGGCGGCCGGACCGTCGTCCAGATGGATGTTTCCGTGAACCAGAGAGGAGGAGAGCCGGAGCAGGCTGAAGGACCAACAGCATAGCAGCACCGAGCCCAACATCCTGCCGTCACAGAGGAGAAGAAGAAGAAGATTCTGCACCACAAGTCCCACAATCCTCAGCGTCTCCACCAAGAGCTCTGAAAGGAAGAAACAAGGCTGAGTTCATCTGAGGGAGATAATGCCTTCCTAACACAGCAGGTGACCTGGAGCCAGGAGCCTGGAGCCTGGAGCCTACAGCCTGGAAACCTGGAAACCTGGAAACCTGGAAACCTGTTCACACGCTGCTGCAGGATTCTGGATTAAATCTTTCTGATCTGAGTCACAGTGCAGAGCCATGCTGTCTTCAACTCAGCACATTTACTGACTGCTGTACTGAAGTATAGGTACTTTCCCTGTTACTGTATACTTATACTGCAGTACATTTCAGAAGGAAACGTGTACTGAACGTAGTTCCTTTACAGATACATACACAGGTGTCCTTTACGCTGAGGACGCTGTGGACACTGAGGACACTAAGGAGGATGAGGACAGTGAGGACACTAAGGAGGATGAGGACAGTGAGGAGGATGAGGACGCTGTGGACACTGAGGACATTGAGGAGGACACTGAGGACACTAAGGAGGATGAGGACACTGAGGACAGTGAGGAGGATGAGGACAGTGAGGAGGATGAGGACACTGAGGAGAATGAGGACAGTGAGGACACTGAGAAGGATGAGGACACGGAGGACACTGAGGACAA